CCACAACCGACCCGACTACGGTCCTCGCGCTGCCGCTCCTCCTTCCGCCCGCCCACCACCGCCTCCCTCCGCCGCCACCTCCGCAGCAGACGAAGCAGCGCGCAAAGCAGCCCTCGCCGCCCGTCTCGAAGCGATGCAGTCCTCCGCCGCCTCCCTCTCCGCCTCTCGCGCCGAGCGGCTGTCGAAACTTGAAGCGGAGGACCGGGCGTCGCACGAGCGCGAGGAGCGGGAGAGGAAGGAACGAGGAAGGGCGGGAGATGGAGTTGGACCGGGGTTCATTGCGAAGGCGCAGGGAGTCGTGTACGGAGGTGGGATGGATTTGGGCGAACGCATGCGACGGAGCGGGCGCGTCGGGCTCGTTGGGGACAGGGACGACTGAGTTGTGTGTGCGTAGCTTGCAGGGCAGTCTCTGTTGAACGTCGTTCGCATACTCCTTCTCCGGGAGCTCACGAGGACTGGTCGCTCCTCTCGCACTCGGCCTTCGTGATGCAAGATGAGAAGGATCACTCTATTGCTCGATCCGCTGCATCGGCAAGTCAACGCCTCTACTGCAGTTCTAAGCTCCTCCAAGTTGTGCTTGTTGTAGAGGTTCTCCGTCTCCCGTCTCGGCCTCCTTGCCTCCCACCGCCTTCTCCAACACCTTGCCCCTCGCACGATCGACGTCCCATTCTCGTCCTCGTTCACCCGCTTCGCGCCTCGTCTTGCATGCCGGACCGCCGACGCTCGAAAGCCCTGCTGGGGAAGCGACGCCGCCGCCTGCTCCGCTGCCTCATCCCGCCGCCGGCTGCTCTTCGTACGCGAGCGCGCATGTCGTGCTTATGAAACAGACGAGAGGTCGAGGATGGCCGGGGTCGCGCGAATTGCAGGGAAGCGGGGAGGGCGCAACTTGAGGGGCGAAAGGCGCGAGGGGAGCAGACGAAACGCCGTGGTTGGTGCAGGATAGCTTGTTGCGCTGCTGCAAAGCGCAAAGAAGAGTCAGCGCGGCCGAATGAAGATACAGGAAGCGTCGGGCCTCACCGAATCCCTTGACCGCGCCCCGCTCGAATGCTTCGCTCTGCGGCTGGCCGGTCCGGCGCTCTTTCCCCGCCCTTCCAGCAGAAAGCACGCGAAGCCTGCCTCAAAGGCTCAGCCCGACCTTCTTGAGATCCACCTCCGCCTCTCCCGCCTGCTCAGCTCCTCCTGTCGCGCTCGACGATCCAGCAGCAACCAACCTCGGCCTCACGCCCAGAGTCGCACAAGCAGTGCGGTACTTTGACCGAAGGGACGAGAGGAGGGCGGGGATGTCAATGTCGGCGTTGGATGCCGAGGAGGAGGAGAGGGAGGACGAGTTGTTTGAGGTTGGGAATTGGAAGACGAGGGAGAGGATTTGGTCGAGGGATTGAGATGCCCTGTTGGGTGGATTTGCGGAGGAGGAAGGTAGAATGGACGCAAGAGAAGGTGGAAATGAGAGAGGCAGTGTTTCGTGGAGACGAAACGGTGTGACAGTACGAGATTGGGCACGTGGCGAAAGAAAGGAGTGGAAAGGTCAGCGTACTGTATTGCGCGGTACGAGGACAGGGGTTGTAGACGCGAACGCTCCCCGCCAAGACGCAACAGACAGTAGAGGATGTCCCAGAAGCGTTCTGTCGCCACCGCTTCTCCTGCTACACACTCCTGCATCCGCTGCCACACCTCAAAAGCCACGACTCGAACTTCAAGCGAGACGACTGCTGGAAAGAGGCCGCCCTGCCCGTCTGAACGCCTCATCCTGGACTGCGAGCGAAACGGCGAAGGTGTCAACGCTGAACGCACCTGCCCGAGTCCTTGCCCTGCGCTGCGAGGATGCCCTTCCACAGTCGCGCCATGCCCTCGTAGTAGCCGACCTCCTCGCACAGCTCCCAGGCCTTTTCCCTGCCGAGTTCCCTCCCCTCGAAGAGGCCGTGCAGCTCGCCGTGCGGGAGCCCAGCGTCGAACCCGCGCTGGTAGAACTGTTGCTCGAGGTCGAGGAGCGGGTCGAACGAGAGCTGCATGTCCATCTGTGCGGTGTGAGCGTGGCAAAGCGAAGCGCAAGAGCGAGAGGGAGGGTTGGTCCAGGACGACTCGCTGGCTGTTCGCTGTCACCGCTCGCCGTGCGCTCGCTTCGACTCAGGATGCCTTCCATCGTCGACACGGTGCTGCACGACCCGCGCAAACGCGTCCTCGCTGCCGACGACGCCGTCTCTCGCCCGCTCAAGCGCACCAAGCACTCGCTCGCTCGCAACGCGCAACGGGCACACGCTGGGACTGTGGGACTCGCTGGGACGGTCAACGGAGAGTCTGCGAGGCTCGTCACCCGCTCGCCAGAGACCGGGGCGCAGGGTGCGGCTCTCACTCTCGCTCGCTCGACTGACCCCCCTCCCTCTCCTGCTCGAACGGCTCTCTCACCCTCGTTCGTGCTCGCGCTCGACCGTGACAGCGCTCATCGTGACTCGTTCAAGGCCCTTTCACATCGGCCGCTCGCCCAACAACGACTACATCGTCCCGCACCCGGCCGTCTCGGCGCGACACTGCGCCCTCTACGCCCTCGAGGCCGACACGGGCGAAGTCGTCGTCTGCCTCGAGGACGAATCCACCAACGGCACACTACACAACGACCGCAAGGTCAGACACACCACCGTCGTTCTCAATGACGGCGACAAGGTCGAGTGCGTCGCGCGCGAACACCCGCCTCAGTTTCCGCTGCTAACGCCTCGCTCGACCTCAGGATCGGCGGCCAGGTCTTTCGCTACCACCACACGGCTCGCGATGCAGCAGCGCGACAGGACGCGGCCTCTGACGCCGCCCCTCAGCGCGTCGGCGACTACCTCGTCCTCCCGCGCACGCTTGGCAGCGGCGCCTTCTCCCAAGTCCACCTCGCACTCTCGACGGTCGTACGTCTGGTCTATCTCGCTACCTCCTGCACTGAGGGGCGAGCTGACCCGAGCTTTCGCCGCCGGGCGCGAATCGCAGACGCTGAAGCAGGTCGCGTGCAAGAAGCTCCCGCGCCGCCGCGTCTCGGGCGACAGGCTCCTCGTCATTCAGCGCGAGATCGACATGCTCAAGTCCGCCCGCCACGTGGGTCGTCCTACATCGCAAGCGAGACGAGCGGATGCTGACGACGGGTGTTCGCGCAGCCTGGCATCAACAAGATCGAGGCGGTCGAGGTCGACAACGAGTTTGTGTGTGTCGGGTTCGTGGATGTGGAGGAGGGGCGAGCTGATCTTCCGTTCGTATCGCTCACACAGGCACATTTTCCTCGAGCTGTACGCACCTCGCTCGCAACATGCAGGCGATTAGCCACTGACTCGCGCGCTCTTTGCAGTGTTCCCGGAGGCGACCTCTTCACCTACCTGATCACGCGCACCCGCCTCGACGCACCCGAAGGCACGCTGTTCACCCTTCCGCCCCCTCCCTGCCTACCTAACTCCGCTCGTCCCCCTCCGCCACAGCCAAATGGATCCTCTACCAGCTCCTCAAAGCCCTCGAGTACCTCCACGACGAGCTCGGAGTCGCGCATAGGGACGTCAAGCTTGAGAACGTGATCTTGGCGACGAGGGGACCGTTCCCGAGGGTACAGGTGCGTCATGATCCCTGTTGATCCGCGGAGTGACGAGTGAAGAGCTGATGCGGTCGAACGATTTCGTCGATGATGCACAGCTTGGCGACTTTGGGCAGGCCCGCTACGCTGACCAGAGGTTCAAGTCGCTTCAGGGCAAGCCTGGCCATCCGCTCATCTTTGCGCAGTCGTCGCTAACGCTCTGATGTCTGTAGGCACACTGCAGTACATGGCGCCGGAACAGCTGCTCGCTTGGACTCGTCACGAAGGTCCGTTGCCGAGACAGCTTGAGCGAGGATTCTCACTGACGAGGTGTTTGCGCAGGCTACGACGGCAAGAAGGCCGACATCTGGGCGGCTGTGCGTCAACTGAACGGGCATCCGAAGCGCGCTGAAGCTGACCCAGATCGCGCCTTCACAGGGCATCCTCTTCGCGCTCCTCCTCACCGGCGGCCACCCCTTTGAGCCCTTCATGACCTCGTCCTCCGCCGCCTCCGCTCGCTACCGCCCGCACGGCAAAGCCAAAGCCGACTCGGACGCCCTCTTCGGTCGCTCTGCCGTCGCTGAACTCGCGCGCACGCCGGCTGACAAGCCTGTGTGCAAGAACGTCGTCAAGGGGGAGATGGTCTTGCCGGACATGCACTTCGGAAGTGGAGATGCGGATGGTGCGTTGCGCTCGCCCTCTTCCCACGATTGAAGACGAAGCTCACGAGATACGACCTGACCCGCAGTTCGCGCCCTCTTGAACTCGATGCTCCACCCGCTCGCCTCGTCCCGCTGCACAGCACACCAAGCCCTCCAGTCTCACTGGTTCAAGTCAAGCGAAGCGCAGCTCGAAGAACTCTACAGGCGCGTCGTGGTCGAGCGCACGGAGGGGTAGATTCGTTGTTCGGCAGGGTTTCGCTTGATGGGCGGGACGGCGGAGGGATGGAAACGGAATCTGGAACGGAATAGATGGATGCATGGTTTGCAATGGGCTGTCTCCGCTTCTGTGTCCTCGTCCCGCGACTTTCGACTGATGAGAATCGCGAGTCGAGACGATGTGGACTGGCGGAACTTGTGCGACTTGAGAGCCTCCAGAGTGATGCTGGAGTGCGCACCAGATCCTCGCCAACCCGTCTGAACGAGTGCAGCGGCGTCGCAAGCTCCTTCTGCTCGTCGTTCCCGCTCGTCCGCTTCTCTCGCCTCGACTGCTCCGCTCACTCGCTCCGATCCGGCTGAGATGGCACGCATACCTCCATCAGCCGACACACTATCCTTCCCGACCACCCCCTCGCTCCTCAACCCGCACTTCGAGTCGTATAAGCTCGCCTCCCCACCTCGAGGCGACGACGCAGTCACGACCTTCCCGCTGCCTCGAGTATTCAAGACGCCTGCACTTCCCGACCATGCGCGATTGAGCTACAACGAGGTGTCGGACCGGGCGAGGTTCAACCATCTGCAGGCGGGCAAGGAGGGGGAGGTTCTGTTCGTAGATGGAGAGGGAGTTGTCACGGCGGTCCAGGTGGACAAGGCGGTACGTCACGATGCTGAGCGTATGGAGAGATCCCTTGCTGACATTCTCCGCCATTCAGACTGCCCAGCCAAACTTCCAAACCGTCCTTCGCCTACCTCCTCCGCCCTCGACCCCGACTCTCGTCCCCGAATACCCCGCCGCATTACCTCTCGCCGCAGCCCTCTGGGTGGTCACAGACGGCCGAGGCTCGCTCTACCTCGTCCGCATCGACCGGTCGAAGGCGGAGTGGACAGGCGAGATCCAGACGTCATTCCGACTCCGACAGGAAGAAACGCCGTTCAGGTTGCACGCCGCCGAGCAGCTGAACGAAGAGGAGGCGATTCTATTGCTCTCGGTCGTCGTCAAAGAGGCGGGCAAGCCGGACAGTCAGGCGCCTCCAGCACCTTCGACCTCGCTCGGCTCGACTGCGCGCCGGCCGATCCCTTCGACGACTTCTTTTCACTACCTCTCGACACGTATACCGCTACGACCATCCGAGGCGTCGACACCGCTGGTGCTGAAAGTGGACTGGCGACTAAAGGGACAGGACTTGCCGTCGTACGTCTCGTTCGATGCGGCTGCCGGAAGGTTCGTCGTCGGCTCGACGTCGCGGCTCGTGCAGGTCGAGGCCGAGGGGACGAAGGGTGCGGAGACTGAGGCTGGACAGGGCGAAGACGTTGACATGGGAGATGAGGAGGAGTCTAGCGGGCAGGCAGGCGGACAAGTTGCCGGCACTGCAGCGCCCAAGCCTCCACCATTTTCGTGGATCCAGGACAAGGATTCGGTTACCGTCGCGTTCCCAGTTCCCTCCGACACGCCGACCTCGAGCATCCGGGTGACCTTCTCCCGCCAGTTTGTCTCGCTTCATGTCGCCTCTGCCGCCGCCGCCCTCGCCTCTTCGTCTCCCGTCTCCGCCGCCGCGCTCCCTCATGTCTCGCACAAGAAGCTGTGGGATGATATCCTCCCGCATCAAAGCGTCTGGACCTTCGACCGAGAAGCGGAGGGTCGCAACTCGTCCTACGGCCTCCTTACACTCCACCTCGAGAAGGCGAATACTGGAACACGGTGGTCCGACGTCTTTGCGTCGACCAAGGTCCCGACAGATGACCCTTCGAGCGCCAAGATTGTCGAACTCGACCCGCAGCAGGAGTACGAGGACGTCCCAGAGACACTCGACCCGAGCGAGTTGGCTGCTATCACGGAAAGGATGGAGCAGTGGGCGCAGGGGATCATGAAGGGCGGACTTGCGCATAGCGAGGAAGGGCTCGGCTCGGGCATCCCGACCAGCTTGATGGGCGACGAGATCGACGTCGAGGTGGACGCCGAGTCTGGACGGCCGTTCATCGTCACGTGGATCGAGGAGGCAGCGACGCCGGGCACGCCACGCCTTGTCTGCCCTCACCCTAGCGTTCCCTACTCGCTCCTCTCGACCGCGATCCCGCTCGCTTCGTCTGCACCGTCCGACCCGACCGTTACGATCAAGCACGACGTCGACGGCCTCCTCTTGGCCCCTCCCTCCTCGTCCGATACCTATCGCTGGACCCACCAGTCCACCTTCCCAGCACTCGCCTTCGTGCTTGCAACCAAGCGAGACACCCGCTTCGTCTACCACTACTCGACGCGCGCCTGTCTCGCTTTCGACGCGCCTGCACTCTTGCCAGGTCCACAGACGACGCGGCACAACCTCAGCGGCGGGAACCTCTTTGCTTACTTTGCACCTCCGGTCGGGCGGACACGGGAGACGAAGGGAATGCAAATGGTTGTGCGGGTGGGCGGTCCTGGGAGCGGAGCGCTGATGGGCGTCGCGGCGGTCGAGCTGGACGCAGGCGAGACAGCTGTGCTCGCGCTGTGCGAGAAGGAGCTGGTCGTTCTGCGGATTCTCTCGTAGCGTCTGCTGGCAACGCGATACACCGGTCGGAAAGACAGAGAAACCCACGTCTGTGCAGAGTCGAAGCAAACAGTCCGGAAGTTACATAGACGAACCGTTCCACTTCCCTTGCGCCGCCTCGTTGAGAACCGCTCGCGCAAGCTCGTCGAGATTCGCCTCCTCCCGCTCCGACTTCTCCAACTCCGCCTGCGTCATTGCTGCCGCAGCGAGAACGTCGCCAAACGGCTGAGCATTGTCACCCTCGAGGATCTCCCACACGTTCGCGAGCTCGCGCTTCTCGGCACGGGAGGGCGGGAAGGGCGTGCTGGAGTGCAAGTCGTCGGCGGCGGACGAGCCGGAGAAGGACTCGTTCAGGACGATGAAGGGGTCGGCGAGCAGGCGCTGGAGGATGAGGGCGGTGACGGATCCGACGGCTGACTTGTTCGCTTGTTGTGCACGAATCAGGGCTTTGACGTCGTTGGCGCGCTCGGCGGCCAGGGTCAAGTCGCCGCGGCGAGAGGCGAGGGCGAGGGCGCGGATGAGGGCGCCTGTGCGAGAACCGGGTTAGCCTGCTCGCGACCGAGCCAGTGACTGGGAAGGAAAACGCACGACCAGCGACAGCCCACATCCAGTTCTGGAAGCTGAACAGCAAGCCCGCCTCGAACGAAGAGCCTGCCAAATGCGCGCGTCAGCTCGCTACTTCTACGCAGACTACGGGAGATCGCCCGACTCACCCGCCAACTCGTGCACGCTCGACACGATCGCCTTAGCCGCCTCGAGACACTTCTTGAAGCTATCATCCTCCTCCGACGTGCTGGGCGAGAGGCAGAACGGCTCGTGCATGAGGATGGTACAGACGTGGAGGAGGGTGAAGACGAAGAGCTGGACGTTTTCGAAGGCTGGAGAGGTGTAGTACGAGTGCTGGAGTTCGCGCGGGATGGACATGCGGAAGTGCGAGATGGTGCGTTCAAGATTCTGGTAGGCGGAGCTGCGGGCGCGGGGAAACAATAAGTAGGTGGCGTGGGCGAGATGGGTAGAGCGTGACTCACGTCTCGCGCAAGTCCTGCCCATGTGACAGAGGATACCCGCTCCCGACCGGCTCCGGCGCGCGCTGTAAGAACCTCGTAACGCGACCAAGGAGGACGAATACTTTGAAGCAGAGCTGGTGGCTGCGGACGAGGTGCGGCGGGTTGGCGAAGAAGAAGGAGGGATTGTGAATGCAGAGAGGCGAGGCGAGGAGGTCGTCGCTCTGGCAGACTCGAGCTCGTCAGCGGGGTTGAAGGAGGGCAGTAGAGCGAACTCACCGTGTCGGGCGCTCCAGGCGGGTGCGGCAAAAGTGTCGTGATGTCCTCCTCGGACAAGACCGGCGCCCAGCCCGTCGCAGCGCTCGTCATCCGATCCTGCCCAAAGACGAAATAGAAGACGGACGACCGCTCGGCCAACTCGTCCGGATCGGTCGTCGGCGGGAGCATCGACTTGTCCTTGAGCCTGCTCGTCGTCTGCCGCTTCTTCGGCAACGCCGAATGAGGCGTCCATCCTCCTCCAGACGCCGAATCGGGTGTCGCACCTGCCGGCGACGCATACGACCCCGCTCCTCCCGCCATTCCAGGCAACCGAATCTGGTTGAGGCCAACACAAATCGCCAACCTGCTCGACTGGGCCGACAGCAGCCAAATGTCCGCGAACCTCGCGCTGGTATAGGCGCAAAAGCAGCACAGTACGCTCGCTTGTACGATCTGGAGGAGCTGGCGGCCCTGCTTGAGTGAGGGGTTGAGGAGTGATTCGGCGCGTACGGCGTGGTAGTCGCACAACGAGGTGCCGGAGCCGTCGAGGTCCCAGTAGCGGTACGACTCGGAAGCGAAGAACGAGTCTTCGGCGACCATCATTGCTGCTGTGGCGATCATGGCGTGCAAGAGGCAGGGGATGGGCGCACGAGGGTCGTCAGGTGGGTAGGTCATGCTCGCTCGGAAGCGAGCCTCGTTGATGAGCCCCGTCGCCAGGTGAGGTTTCGAGAAGTAGACGTCCACAAGTCGACGGAGGAGAGAGGGAGAGGGGAGGTCGCTTGGGTAGCCGGAGAGGGTGAGGTCGACTGGTCCGTCCCAAGAAAGGCTGCCGAGTCCATCGAGTTGGCTGAAGTCGAAAGCGGCGGCGAAAGTTGAGGCAGCGGGTTGAGGCGCGCTAGTCGACGAGGACTGCGTAGGCGTCGTTGCGGCTGCCCAGTACTGCGGTGTCGACGCGACCGGCACGTCATGAGCCTGCGTTGCGAGAGAGGGCATAGCGAACGACGAGGTCGGCGCCGCAGACGTCGCCGCATTCGCGCCTGTCGAGAAAAACGGGAGCGACTGCTGCTGCTGCTGCTGTTGCGTTGGCATGGCGAGCGAGGAGGATTCGGCGAGGAGAGCAAGCGGGTCGCGGTGATGCTGGTGGTCGAGGGTGAAGGCCGAGGTGCTTGCTGTCGGGTAGGCGTGCGAGGTGGGTTGCGAGACGAAGGACTGCTGCTGTTGGGGCGGAGCGGAGGATGGGATCGAGCCGCCGTTCTGCCGCGCAAGCTGTTCCTTCAAGTCGGCTGTTATCAAGCGGCAGCATTCAAGCGAAGAAAGGAAGAAAGAAGAAGGCGAATGGCGGACGAGACATCGAGCGCGCGATAGCACGGAATGACGAAAAGGAAGAGGGAGAGCGAGGCTGGTCAGCCTCATCTCAAGAGCACGGAGGAACACAATCCGAGAAGGAGAAATCGCGCCAACTCACCAACCTGCCTGGCCAAACTCGCCACCACCTCCGGATCCACCGCTGCACTCTCATTCCCCTTGCCCTTCCCGCTCGCGTCCCCGGCTTTATCGGAGGTGGATTTGCTAGGTGCGCGAGCGCGGCCGGGGGCGTCGTAGACGCAGGTGAAGGAGTCCGGGTCTCTGTGGTACGCGGAGGGGTGGAGAAGGTAAGTGAGGCAGAGCAGGAGAGTGGGAACGCGAGTGTAGGTCGCAGGCAGTTGGAGACGGGACGAGGAAGATGGGGTGAAGAAGGCAGAGGAACAGATGGGTGCATCACCCAAAATCGCAGTCGAGAGGTAGGACCGAACGGACAGTGAGTGGCGGTGGGATAAGGAGGGCAAGGGCGAGTACGTGTTAGTCCAAGGATGCAGGACGAAGCGCGAAGGAGGAGGAGACGCGTGGCCGACATCGGAATTTCTCGCAGCGGTAGATGTGATAGGACGTAGTCGGAACAGGCAAAGCGGCGAGATGGGGAAGGAAAGCAGGAAAGGGCGACACGAGCATTGGAAGGAACAGCACGACTCACTCGCCGTGCACACGGGCCGACTTGGCGCATCGTCCGCACACAGGCTTGACGCCGTCGCCTGCATCATCCGACCTGATTAGCATGGATTCTCGCGCCTCGAAAAGGGCCTCAACGAGGTCCAGGAGGAAGAGCCGGCAGAGTCGACGCACACTTGACGCGCCTCCTCCTGCATGTCTGGCAGGCCTGCGTGTCTCCGCCAAAGCGATCAATCGTCAGCCTCACGCTCTCGCTCAGCCCGACGAACGTGTTGCTCGGGACGCACCTTTCCCCTCTCGAGCGAGGGTGCATGGCCAGGTCCGACACTGCTGAGCGGTTGGCCGGATGCGATTGCGTCGGAGAATCGCTGTGCGGTTCCTGTCGTCGTCTGTGTGCGGTCTGGCGGCATCGTTGGCGTGCGAGAGGAGCAAGTGGGGCGGTGAAGAGTCTCGGGGACGTGGCTGTTCCCCGACGACGGCGCTGGAACGCAGGTGAGCAGACGATGCGTAGTCTACGTCTCAAACGACGCGGTCTCAGGCAGCCAAGCAACCGAACAGAGCGAGTCGAGGAGGGAGTAACTGCACAAGCAGAGAGGCTTGACCGTTTGTATTCGTCATTACAAAAGTTTGTATTCGACAGGACACTCGCCTCTCTCACTTCGTCGTTGTCGCCCGCCGCTGGGAGTGCTGTTGCTGGTCTCTGTCGCCTGGTCCGTCACGCTTGTACACGTCCACACGCTCGCACGACCCGCCCGCGCCGTCCAGCCCGCCGAGTCGACTCGTCCACTGCACCCCGCGCCACCACTCGGCCTGCACACGCGTGCCAGGCAGCGCGACACAGTCAGTAGCGTGAGTAGACGCTCATTGAAGCGGGTGGGATAGATACGGCGCCATGGAGTTGGGAGGGGCCCAGAGTTGCGGCTGCTGAGCGAGCGACGGAGTGGGCGAGGGCGATGAAGCGGTTGCCGGGCGAGCGGGGGTGCAGCAGCGTGTCTGACCGGGCTGAGGGATGTTGCTGACGAGTCCGACGCTGTCGCAGCAGGTCCAGCGGCTCTGCGTCGTCGAGCATCCTTCCTCCTCCTCCACTCCGCCTACCCTTTCCTCTCCTCGGCCGCACGAAAGCCGACTGAACGACCGACTGTACCGCCATGTCCTACTCGTACGACTACGGCTCGCAATCGCAGTACGGCGGCGCGTACGGTGACAGCGGGACGACGGGGATGGGGATGTACGACGACGACGGCTACGGCGCAGGCGGCGGGGAGGACTACCTCGACGAGACGATCACGCAAGAAGATTGCTGGACCGTCATCGCCGCTTATTTCGCCGACAAGACGCTCGTCAGTCAGCAGATTGACTCGTTCAACGAGTTTGTCAATACGACGATGCAGGAGTTGGTCGACGAGAGTGGGAGCTTGATCCTCGATCAGAACATGCAGCATTCGGGCAAGGCGGGCGATGCGACGGTGAGTCTGCGCGAAGGCCTTCGTCTCCTGTCCTCCCTTCCGAGCGGGAAGCTAATCGCAAATGCCGCGCATACACAGAAACGCTACGAGCTCAAGTTCGAGCAGATCTACCTCTCGAAGCCGACGCAAACCGAGGCGGACGGCACCGTTGCGCCCATGTTCCCGAACGAAGCGCGGTTGCGGAACCTGACGTGCGTCCCGTCCCTCCTTTGTCCGCTATTGTCTAATAAGCGGGCAGCTGACTTTGAGTGTCGGACGGGTGCAGCTACTCGGCCCCGCTGTACATCGATGTCAAGAAGCGCGTGTTGGTGCAAGAGTCGGACGAGCCTGATCCGGAGACGGGCGAGTTGGTGTGGACGGAGGAGAAGGACGACGATGAGGCGGGCGAGGAGGAAAAGATTTACATTGGGAAGGTGCGTCGCGGTCGACCGTGAAGCTGAGGAGCGGCGCAGGGCTGATCCGGATGGTACACCGCGTCCACAGGTCCCAATCATGCTTCAGTCCGACTTCTGTATCCTCGAGAACCTGGAGGAGAAGGACAAGCTTGAGTTGAACGAGTGCCCGTACGACAAGGTGCGTCCTGCTTCACCTCTCCGCCAACCACCTAGAAGCTGACCCGGTTTCCGTGCGCAGGGCGGATACTTCGTCATCAACGGGTCGGAGAAGGTCCTCATCGCGCAGGAACGGATGGCGACGAACCGCGTCTACGTCTTTGCCAAGTCGCAGCCGTCGCCCGTCTCGTACCTCGCCGAGATTCGCAGTGCGGTCGAGAAGGGCGGCAAGACGATCTCGTCCTTGCAGATCAAGATGATGCGGAGAACGGAGCGCCAGTCGGGCCAGACCATCAAGTCTACTATCCCGTACATCCGCGCCGACATCCCCATCGTCGTCGTGTTCCGCGCCCTCGACCTTATCCCCGACCGCGACATCCTCGACCGCATCTGCTACGACCGCAACGACACCGAGCTCTTCGAGATGATGAAGCCATGTCTCGAAGACGCGTTCCCGATCCAGAGCCGAGACGTGAGTTCCGCATCGCAGACCCTCCTTCGAGGTTTCGTGTGCATGCGTGCTGAACTCTGCGAGCTTAGGTCGCACTCGACTTTATCGGCCGTCGCGGTACCGTCCCTGCCCTTTCCCGCGACCGCCGCATGAACTACGCGCAAGAGATCCTCCAGAAGGAGATGCTCCCGCACGTCTCGATGGCGCCCGGCCAGAACACCAAGAAGGCCTTCTTCTTCGGCTACATGGTCCACCGCCTCTTGCTCGCCGCGCTCGAGCGACGAGAACTCGACGACCGAGACCACTTCGGCGCGAAGCGGTTGGACTTGGCCGGACCGTTGTTGGCGGCGCTGTTCCGGATGCTGTTCCGCAAATTGACCAAGGACGTCTACCGGCACCTCCAGAAGTGCGTCGAGACCGGCAAACCCTTCAACATCAACTCGGCGATCAAGTCGACGACGATCACGAACGGCTTGAAGTACTCGCTCGCGACGGGCAACTGGGGCGACCAGAAGAAGGCGATGTCGGCCAAGGCGGGTGTCTCGCAGGTGTTGAACCGGTACACGTTCGCGTCGACGCTCTCGCACTTGCGAAGGTGCAACACGCCCATCGGCCGCGACGGCAAGATTGCCAAGCCTCGCCAGCTGCACAACACGCACTGGGGCATGGTCTGCCCCGCCGAGACCCCCGAAGGACAGGCGTGCGGTCTCGTCAAGAACCTCGCGCTCATGGCGTACATCTCGGTCGGCTCGCCGTCGGCGCCCATCGTCGAGTTCCTCGAGGAGTGGGGGATGGAGAACTTGGAGGAGTACTCGTCCGACATGTCCAAGGCGACCAAGGTCTTCGTCAACGGCGTCTGGCAGGGCGTCCATCGCGACCCCGCCCAGCTCGTCTCGACGATCAAGAGCCTCCGTCGCCGCGGCGACATCCAGTACGAGGTCTCGATCGTTCGCGACGTTCGCGAGCGCGAGCTACGCATCTTCACCGACGCGGGGCGCGTCTGCCGACCGCTCTTCGTCGTCGAGGACCAGCGGCTCGCCTTGCGTCGCGAGCACATCGAGATGCTCAGCAACGAGGAGCCGCAGGACCCCGAGGACCCGCCCAAGCTCAAGTGGCCGCAGCTGATCGAGCAGGGCATCGTCGAGTACCTCGATGCGGAGGAGGAGGAGACCGTCATGATCTGCATGACGCCCGAAGACCTCGACATGAGTCGGCAGTTCCGCGACACGGGCACGGTCGAGGCGACGACGACGGGCGACGCGTCGGCGACGGTGCGGACGACGAGCGGCGCCAAGACGCAGACCTGGACGCACTGCGAGATCCACCCTTCCATGATCCTCGGCATCTGCGCCTCGATCATCCCCTTCCCCGACCACAACCAGTCCCCGCGAAACACCTACCAGTCTGCCATGGGCAAGCAGGCTATGGGCGTCTACCTCACCAACTACCAGGTCCGCATGGACACAATGGCCAACATCCTCTACTACCCGCAAAAGCCCCTCGCGACGACGCGCTCGATGGAGTACCTCCACTTCCGCGAGCTGCCCGCCGGACAGAACGCCATCGTCGCCATCCTGTGCTACTCTGGCTACAACCAGGAGGACTCGGTCATCATGAACCAGTCCTCGATCGACCGCGGCCTGTTCCGCTCGCTCTACTACCGGTCCTACATGGACCAGGAGAAGAAGAGCGGGCAGATCCAACTCGAGGAGTTCGAGAAGCCGACGCGCGACACGACCCTCCGCCTCAAGCACGGCACGTACGAGAAGCTCGACCAGGACGGTCTTGTCAGCGTCGGGGAGCGTGTTGCCGGTGAAGACATAATCATCGGCAAGACCGCCCCCATCCCGACCGACTCGGAGGAGCTCGGCCAGCGCCTCAAGACGCACACGAAGCGCGACGTCTCTACGCCGCTCAAGTCGACCGAGAACGGCCTCGTCGACCAGGTCCTCCTCACGACCAACTCGGAAGGCCTCAAGTTTGTCAAGATCCGTATCCGCTCGACCCGTGTGCCCGAGATCGGTGACAAGTTCGCCTCTCGCCACGGTCAGAAGGGTACGATCGGCATTACCTACCGCCACGAGGACATGCCGTTCTCGGCAGAGGGGATCACGCCCGACCTGATCATCAACCCTCACGCCATCCCCTCGCGCATGACCATCGGCCATTTGGTCGAGTGTCTGCTGTCCAAGGTCTCGACGATCACCGGCAACGAAGGCGACGCGACGCCCTTCTCCGAGGTCACGGTCGAGGCCATCTCGGAACTGCTCCGCAAGTACGGCTACCACTCGCGCGGCCTCGAGGTCATGTACAACGGCCACACTGGACGCAAGCTCCAGGCGCAAGTCTACCTCGGCCCGACCTACTACCAGCGCCTCAAGCACATGGTCGGCGACAAGATCCATGCTCGCGCGCGCGGCCCTGTGCAGATCTTGACCCGTCAGCCCGTCGAGGGTCGTTCGAGGGACGGCGGCTTGCGTTTCGGAGAGATGGAGCGCGAGTGAGTCCCGGTTCCTTCTTTCGAGCGACTTTTCCAAGCCGAGGCTGCTCTTCCAAGCCGGAGTTACTCTTCCAGGGTGCTGACTCGTTCCTCACTCGCAGTTGCATGTTGGCGCACGGTGTGGCAGGTTTCTTGAAGGAGAGGATGTTCGAGGCGTCCGACGGGTACCGGATCCACGTTTGCGAGATGTGAGTCGGGGGCTTTCTCTTTGTTCGCTGTTCGCTAACTCGAGCGAGCGCTGACTATGTCGACCCTCCCCTCCGCAGTTGCGGCTTGACGGCGATTGCCAATCTGAAGAAGCAGTCGTTCGAGTGCCGGGCTTGCAAGAACCGGACAGCGAGTGCGTCTCGATTCCTCCCCTTCTTCCTCGTCCGACTCGCACTGACGCTCTCTCCTCCTCAACAGTCGCGCAAGTGCACATTCCTTACGCAGCGAGTGAGTGCAGCTCCCATTCCTCGCCGTGTCTCGTCGACTTTCCTCGCCCTTTCCGCTCCTCGACCGCTCTTTTGGCTTCTTTCGCTGACCGAGGCCTTTTCCCACGTCGCAGAGCTATTGTTCCAGGAGCTACAGTCAATGAATGTCGCCTGCCGGTTCGGCTTCGAGGACAAGGCGTCGCAGAACGCCGCACGCCAGGAAACGGTCGTCTGAACGCGCGCTCCTACTCCCTCCTTTCTTCTCCCGCCTGCAGCATACAATTCGTTCACCGTGTAGTCCTAGTGTAACACCTGGTCACCTTGAAGCAGATCAAACTTTGTGAGAGAGCAAGTCGAGAGCGACAACTGCCGCTCTCCTTCGTCCCGCTCGCTCGACCTCGCTCTTTCGCTGGCTTGGGCGCTCTACCCGGCTGAGAATGGCCTCGTCGACGTACTCGGCGACACCGCAGCCGCCGCAACGCATCCGCATCGTCACTCACCCTCCCCTCGCCCCGCTCCGCGCATGGCTGCCTCTCCCGCACGGCGGCGGCAGTGGGACGGTGGCCGACCTGCTGCACGGCGTCCAGGGGCTCGTGAGGGACGGACGCGCACTCGAGGCGGAGCTGCAGGGTGCGTCGCGATGGTCTTCGTAGCCAGGATCTCGGTCCAGCTGATGAGGGCGTTCCTCACGGACTGAGGGGATCTTCGCTCTCATAGGTGATCGGGGTTGCTCTGACTCGCTAAGGCTACCTGTCGCTTCATTCGCTGCCGCACTAGCGCGAGGCGACGGACTTGCATCTACCTTCTCTCGCTTCGCACGCCAAACTTTCGACTCTTTCGCTTCGTGCAGCTCACGGTGCGACTCGCTCTCAGCAGCCTCCCTGGGCTTTTCAATCGTGCCCTGCGCTGGCTATGAAAACTTGCTCACCACCTACTGGGTCCTGCTCCAGAAGTTTCTCGCCTGTCTTCCGCGGATCTTGCTCCGACACGCTCTGCATGCACAAATCTCCTCTGCTGCTTCTTCGAGTGACCAAGAGCGCCTCCGTGACGTACAGGTTGTCCGTTCTTGTTTCCTCGTCCAGTCCCATCCTTGCACCCGCTCGAAAAGCTTCTCCGGTAAGAGCCTCACTTGCTGTCAGTTGCTGATCAACGAGCACCTTGATGACTGCTTTTTCAGTCTCGCACTTGCGGCCAAAGCGACAGTGGTGCAGCGCATCAGTCGAGGAGGGTGTCGGCCCAGGTGCAACGGCGGAGCAAAACGACTGCTCCTCCCGCCCCGCTCGCCCGCTCCCACTGACGCTTCCTCATCTCCGACATCCGCGCAAGTGCACATTCCGTACGCAAGCAAGTGGGTCCAGCTCCTATTCCTCGCCGCTAAGCCTTCTGCACCTTCCGCGACTGCCCTCTTACTCATCCGCACATCGCGCAACTGCCGCCCTACCCATCCGCACACCTCAAACTAGGCTTCCTGCGTGACTACGTTGAACAGCTGATTAGATCAGCTGACAGCCCCTTTCTTCCTCCTTCTCCTCCTCACAGAAGACAATGTTCCTTCGTTCCGCTTCGCTCGCTGAGAATCGCTCTTCGCGCCGCTCGTCAAGCTAACCATCCAGCACTGCTGACAGAGCTACATTGACCCTGAAAACCATGAGAGAATCGCTACACAAAAGATTACTGCAGAAAGAGAGGAACCCAAAACCACCGCCAAAGTCCTCCTCCTCCTCCTCGCCTAGGCCGTCTTGCTCCTCTTCCTGCCCTGTCCGTCGTCGTCGCCATCCGTCGCCTTCTTGCCGCTGTCCTCGTCGCGGCTCGTCGCCGGCGTAATCGAGATGAAGTCCGCATTGACGAGTCCTTCCGTCCAGCTCTTCACCTCGTTGATCTTGTCCTGAATCTCCCGTACAATTGCAATCGACGCCTCGTTCCCTGCGCGCTTCTGCTGGTAGTTCGCGCGCCTGATGAGCCGGTTGCTCAATTCTTCGACCGTCACAAGGATCGCCCACTCGTTCGCCGCTTCCTCGGCAGCAAGCGACACAGCGTGCGTCTCGTTCAGCTTGACGAGGTCTTCACGACGATAGTGGTTGCCTGCAAATGCAAGCAGCGCGTCGAAGATCGGCTTGAGGACGACGCCGCGGAGAGCGTCCTCGGTGAGCTTGTGCACCACCGCGTCGGGGATGTAGGCGTGCGGTAGACGAGGACGAATGCGGTCATGCTCGACACACGGCACTCCAGCGGCCTGCTTCAGCGAAGCTTGAGCCTGTCCGCTGAGAGCGCCGAACTCGTTGAAGAGCGGGATGTGCGGTTCGGCGAAGGGTTCGCTGGCGTTGCATTGAGCTTTCCAGCCGCCCTTGGTGATTTGAGCATTCGGTAGAGCCGTCATTGGCCTTTGCCTTGGCCAGGAGCGAGTGGCAAGAGCGAGAGAAGAGGCTGAGGAGGGAGGAAAAGGGAAGAGAGAGGTGCGGCGGAAGCCATTCGCGGCCGGCAGAAGGGTTGCCAGGCATCTGCGCGATCGACGGTGGAGGACAAGGTCAGCTGAGTGATCGTGCGGAAGGGAAGGACCCAGCCGCACCCTCTTGCAGATGAGAGCGGAGCAGCTGCACGTCGCTGGATTGGCCAGACAAGGATCGAGGGAGGCACGCGAGAGTTGTTTGAGGTCAGCTGATGTTCCAGAAGCAAGGGTCAAGCGAGGCAAGCGGAGGCGAAGGAGAAGGAGAAGGTGATGGGGACGCTCCCTCTCTTCCTGCTCTTGTCCTTCCTCCTTCTCACGCTTTTCCGTTTGCTGTATTCACCTTATTCGCTTGTCCGCTTTTTGCTTTGACTGATCTGTGCTTCACGCTGCCACAACTCCAGTCCAGCTACTTGCTCCTCTGCGAAGGAGACTTACTCGCCAGGGTGTAAGGACACCCTGGACGCCCACACCGCTTCTCCAGTCTCTCACTTGCGGCCAAAGTGACAGTGGCACAGCGCATCAGTCGAGGAAGGTGTCGGCACGCCCAGGTGCAATGGCGGAGCAAAACGAGTGAGTGCTCCTTGTGATCCCGCTCGTCCGACTCGCACTGACGCTCTCTCCTCCTCAACAGTCGCGCAAGTGCACATTCCTTACGCAGCGAGTGAGTGCAGCTCCCATTCCTCGCCGTGTCTCGTCGACTTTCCTCGCCCTTTCCGCTCCTCGACCGCTCTTTTGGCTTCTTTCGCTGACCGAGGCCTTTTCCCACGTCGCAGAGCTATTGTTCCAGGAGCTACAGTCAATGAATGTCGCCTGCCGGTTCGGCTTCGAGGACAAGGCGTCGCAGAACGCCGCACGCCAGGAAACGGTCGTCTGAACGCGCGCTCCTACTCCCTCCTTTCTTCTCCCGCCTGCAGCATACAATTCGTTCACCGTGTAGTCCTAGTGTAACACCTGGTCACCTTGAAGCAGATCAAACTTTGTGAGAGAGCAAGTCGAGAGCGACAACTGCCGCTCTCCTTCGTCCCGCTCGCTCGACCTCGCTCTTTCGCTTGTTTGACCGCTCTGCTCGGCTGAGAATGGCCTCGTCGACGTACTCGGCGACGCCGCAGCCGCCGCAGCGCATCCGCATCGTCACACACCCTCCCCTCGCCCCGCTCCGCGCATGGCTGCCCTTGCCGCACGGCGGCGGCAGTGGGACGGTGGCCGACCTGCTGCACGGCGTCCAGGGGCTCATGAAGGACGACAGGGCGCTCGAGGCGGAGCTGCAGGGTGCGTACCGCTGTTCTCGCTCAACTTTCTGTCGAAACTGATGAAGTCTCATTCGCTGTCATGCAGGGTTCGCGCTGCTGCCAGACTCGCCGCTGAGCGTGCTAGATCCGGTATGTACAGGCAGCGCCTCTCCTGCAGGTCCTGCAAGCTGATGCTGACAAGGTTCGCTCGGCGCAGGTGAACGACATTCTTGAGTACGCCAGACGTCCCGCTCACAAGCTTCTATAGAGCGCTGACTCGCTCTCTTGCAGCATCAAACTCGCCTCAGACCAGCCCCACCTCCCCGCCCAAGCCGCCCGCGACCTCTCCTCCGCCTCGCGCATTCCCCTTCCCCAATCCCCAGCTCGCCAGTCCTCCCCTTCTTCCTCTTCCGACTCGAGCGTTGACGACAAGCCTGAGGTATGGCCGACCAAGCGGCCCGTGACGAATGGCGAGACGGCCGTACCGAATGGTCGGCCGACGAAGCGACGGAGAACGAGCGTTAGCTCGGCTTCGTCCTCGTCTTCCAACTCGTCCAGCTCTTCCGACAGCGACAGCGACTCGGACTCGTCGTCCGATTCCGCTTCGTCCAGCTCCTCCTCCGATTCTTCGTCCGACTCCGACTCTTCCGACTCGCCAGACTCACAACCGCATAAACTCGCTACCAACGGCATTGTGATCGCTACAGTACCACCCGGGCAGGGCAAGCACCGGACAAAGAGGCGTAACGAGCGGAAACGGAAGCTGAGGCGGGCGAAGGCGCAGGAGAAGGCTGGTGGTGCTGGTGTGAATGGCGGCGGGTTGGCGGCGGGAGGCGCGACTGGCGATGCGGAGAAGGTGGATGCGATGCAGGTGGATGAGGTGGAGAGAAATGGGCCGGTGACTTCGAAGGTCTCGCCCAAGAAGCCGGCTGTCGCCGAAGCTGCCCCTCCCGCCGCGGCAAAACCAGCTCGCAGCAAGCCCTCCCTCGACCCCTATGCCGGCTTCCACTCCGCTCCTCCCGCGCATTTCCCGAAGCCCTCCCATCGCCCCTCCCCCGCTTCATCCGTCTCAACAGGCCGCGAACCCGGCATCTCCCTCATCGGCCCAGGCGGCGGTCGAAACGGGCGCTACAACCGCTCGAAAAAGGGCGGGAACGAGTACTTTGACTCGCCGCAGCCTGCGTATCCCGGTGCGAGGGCGCCATTACCGCCGGGGAGAGAGATGCGGTCGAAGAGTCCGGAGTATAGGCCTACTTCGCCGAATGTTACGTACGAGACGCTTCTTGCCGACTCAGACGCGGCGGCTTCGCCAGCACCTGCGGCACAGTCGATCATCCCGCCTGCAACCCCGACCGACAAACTCGAACAAGCTCCCCCCGCCCCCTCGAAACCCTCCTTCATCCCGCCTAGCAAGCGTACCGACCTCCCTCCTCACATGATCGTCACGAAAGTCGATGTCGAAGGGAAGAAGTGGCAGCCTGGATTGGGGAGGGTGATCAAGGGGACTAGTCGGGATTGGGTTGAGCCCGCCGCGGAGGAGGTGATGGAGAGCGAGGTCGAGAGTGGTAAGGAGGGAGTGGGGGAGTGGAAGGGCTGGATGGAGGTTGGAGAGGTCGAGAAGCGCTGGGATGGGTTGAGGAGAGTGGAGAAGTTGCAGGTTCGGCCTGGCATGCGGGTTGCGACACAGGTGCGCGACTTCCCCTTCTTTCCCACACGATCTTTGATCGCTGACGGCGAGACGCTCTCCGCAGGTCTTCGAGCTCGACATGACGACGTTCCAGCCGACCATCTCGCTCAAATACGGACGCCTGCTCCCCTCTTCACCCGAAAACCCCTCCTCTCTGCGCATCCAGCTTCACCCGTCCTGCGTCCCGCCCACCGAAGACGCCGACGAGTCCTACGAAGGCGCTGCAGTGGAGGATGCGGCGTTCTATGAGGACGAGTGGGCCCCGAAACCCAAGTTTGGGCAGGACTTGGTCGACTCTGCGGCGCTGGAGGAGGCGGACCCGAGTGTGTGGGAGGGCGAGTGGGACGGTGCGGATGTGCGTGTGGTTGCGTAAGGTATTGAGTATTTGCGGGTTGTATTGGTCAAGGCCGAGTGTATGCTCGCGATGGAAGAGCCGCTCCACCTCGTCCCGACTCGCTTCCTCGTCCGGTCTCGTCCTGCTCGCTGTCGCTGTCGCTGTGCGCTCCTGTGACTGCTGCAACCGCTCCGAGCATGCCCGGCTTCACCCACCCGCCCTCGCTCCCCTCGTCGCTCGTCTCCCTCATCACCCATTTCTACGCAACATCCGACAAGCCCGACGCAGTAGACGATTACCTCTCTTTCCTCACTCCCGACGTCGAGTTCGTGATGGGTCTCAACGCAGTGCGCGGGTCGAGCGGTGCGTCCCCTCTCCTCCCATTCTCGCCCCAAAGCCCGGGCTGATGAAGGTGTGAGAGCAGCGGTCCGAAAGATTAGGGAAAACATGTGGGGTGGCGTGAAGACTCGTCATCATGTCCCTTCAGCCGTTTATACGAACGCAGACGGCTCGGAACTCATGGTTCACGGGACTGTACGCTCTTTCCCTCTCTCTCTCCCTCTCTTCCTCCCGACCTCTCCCTTCTTCCTCCCGAGGTACTGACTGGATTTGGAGCAGGTCACGTACGGTCTGCGGAACGGGAAGAAAGTGGAGAACGTTGGCTGGGCTGCGTTGATGGTGTTCGAGGAGGAGGGGAGGAAGAGGGAGGAGTGGAAGATGAGGCGGTATCAGGTGCGTCCTGCGCTCTTGCCCCTTGCGCGCGGACCAAGCGAAGCTTACTCTCGCGCGCCGCCGAACGGCGTGCGGTACTCGCAGGTCTGGCTCGTCAGTCCCACCCTTTTCTCTCCCTCTCACCCAGAAAAGAGTGCCGACTGACAAGATTGAGTGCGCAGGACGGCGCACCGCTCTCAAAGGCGCTCGCGGAACAGGCTGCTGAGGGACAGTAGCCAGCAACACGGACGCGCAATCAAGACTATCCGATATGAGCGGCTCTCGCTTTCCTCGCCTTCTCGCTCAGCCTCTCGTCCGCCTTTCTCACCTCATCTCGACCTCATCGTTCAAGCACTACGTCGTCTGCGGGCGAGTAGAAGGTTTTCCCTAACGGCTTGAGGATGAGGGCGCGCGATGCCTTTCTCCAAACCTTCTCGAAGTACGGACGTCCTCGATGTCCGCTTGACTGCTTCAGATGTGCTCTCGGGCATCGAGCGTCACTTGCTCGACGAGCGAGGCAGTCAATCAGGAGACGCTTGCAAGAAATCGTCGTCCGCTTGCTGGACGACTCGACTTGCTTTTCCCACCGCTCGCTTCGCTCACTTTGGCTTGCAACGACTTCCTCGACGACGAACCTTGCTGCAACGCTTCCTGCGATGCCGAGAGAGACCGTAAAGCTTTTCCCGCTTCCCTTTGGTTCGCTCGCTTCGCCCTTGAACTCCGCGTTTGCGAGCGGACAATCCTCAAATACTTTTGGGTTGCGCGGCAGGAATAGCCGAAGTGGACCATTACGAGCAATACCAACTGAATGCTATTCTACGAATACAAACTAGAATACGAGTGCGCGCGTCGCGCTCCCAACGCGAGTCCCAACTCTCTCCTTCACACTCTCTTGCTTGGTTGTGCTGGCTGGAGTGAAGCGATGTATCACCAGCGACAAGACTCTGTCGGGAGTGCGATCCCGCTGCACAACTACTCGTAGTCAGTCTGCGTCCTCTTGCTCGACGACTGCGAACACCGAACGAGGGTGTGCACCCCCTCGACTCGCTGGATGGGATGGGTGGTGCAGCGGGAGTGATGGATGGGACTGTTTCGAGTGGACTGACACGCCTTTGCATGCACCTCTTCGCTCCAATCGCCCTCTCACTCGCACACCTCTTCACGCAACAATCCCGCTCGCCACACCCCCCTTCTACTCGCTCGACCGTGACGCACACGTTCGGGATGTACAGCCAGCAGGCGCCTGGCGGGAACGAGCAGGGCTACGGCAGCGCGTATGGCGAGAAGCAGTATCCTCAGGTGCGTGCGGTGTTCGCTTGGCGGGAAGGGGCAGTCAACTCTCACGATGCTGCTTCCCGTCTGTACAGACCGGTAGCTGCGTACTCACGCTCGCATTCCGTTACAGGGCAAAGCCGCCGGCTCGCGCCGCCACCCCTGGCGGTGGATCATCGGCGCCCTCGTCCTCATCGCCGTGATCCTCGGCGCCGTCCTCGGCGGCGTCTTTGGCTCCCGCGCCGCAAACGACAACAAGAAGAGTGATGCGGCCAGCGGGGCCGACAACAAGGGCGCGAGCGGGAGCGGCGTCGCGAATGCGGCGACGAGGACCAAGGGCAGTGGAGGGTTTGCGATTGTGCCGACGGTGAGTTGCCCCGCGTTTCCGAATGACGGGAAGAGGCGTAGGCTGACGCTCGGAGTTGCGCGCGACAGGCCACGGACCAGTTTGGCAACCCCATGTACCCTACGTCGACGGGCTCAGCTCACATCTCTGCACCGACCGTCGTCTCGAACTCGTCCCTCTCGTGCCAGGCCGACAGCACGTCCGGCCTCTCGCTCACCTCGCCCAAGACGTCGCACCCTTTGCTCATCGCGACCGAGAACAAGTGGAACTGCCTCCCTCAGCTCATCGCGCAAGACTCGTACATGAGCTACTGGAACGACACCATCTTCCTCAACGCGACCAAGTTCTACGACATGCCGCCTACGAACTACTCCATCGACGGAGGCCTCACCGGCTCCGGAGTCCTCGACGTCGCCCGCGAAGTCCAGCTCCGCATCAAGCACTGGGCCTACGCGTACCGCCTCTCGAACGACACCAAGTGGGTCGACCGGACCTGGCGCGAACTCGTCGTCGCCTCGGGCAACGACACGAGCCAGTACTTTGGCCAGGACAACAAAGGCGGCGACGTCTGGAACTCGGGACACTTCCTCGACCTTGCCGAATTCACAGAGGCGTTCGCGCTCGCGTATGACTGGATGTACGATGCGTGGACGCAGCAGCAGCGCACGGCGATCGCGTGGAGTATCGTCAACCTTGGGTTGAGGTACGGCGTGAATGCGTTTGCGGACCCGTCTGGCGCGGGCGCGAGTTACAGCTGGTGGACCAAGGTCGACGGGAACTGGAACTGCGTGCGTTCAACGTCCCTCCTCCTTCCTCTCTCTTCCCTCGAGCCAGCTGACGACGTCGCGCGCAGGTCTGCAACAAGGGCATGACGATGGGCGCGTTGGCCATCATCAACGAGGACCCGACCAACGGCATCGCCAAGCAGATTCTGGGATACACCGTCCCGAACGCGGTCGAGTACTGCTCGTTTGCGCCCAGTCCCGAGGGGACGTGGTCCGAGACGGCCAACTACTGGTGAGTCGGCGGCGTGCGACGACGAGTGCGGCTGGCGTCGCTTCTTGAGCCGGCAGCAGCTGCTGCACCTTGTCGTAGGGCAGTGCTGACTCGCTAGACGCCCCCGCAGGTACTTCGGCACGTACTCGCACGTCGAGATGGCGGCGGCGCTTCTCTCGGCGACCGGCTCGACGCAGAACATGCTCGACGCGAACCCGGGCATGAAGCTCTCGGCGACGTACCACATGTACGTGACGGGCATGCAAGGGCTCTTCAACTACGGCGACTGCGGACCGAACAAGTACACGGCGACCGCCAACGGCCTCATGTTCTACGGCAACCAGTACAACATGCCCGTCTACACGCTCTTCCAGCGCGACCGCGGCGACGCGCCCGAACCCATGTCGATGCTGTACTACGACCCGCAGGTCTCGGGACAGTTCTGGGACAACTTGCCCCTCGACCACCACTTCTCCAACACGACGGATGGGTGGTTCTCGGCTCGTTCGAGCTGGACCGACAACGACGGCATCTACATCGCCATGAAGGCCGGCAAGTTGACGGGGCACCAGACGCATGGGGACCTCGATGCGGGAGACTTTGTCCTCGACGCGATGGGCCAGCGTTGGGCTGGCGAGCTCGGCTCGGGCGACTACCTCTCCAAGTGAGTCGCGGTGCACGCATTTCTCTTTCGAACTCGTCGTCCGACGAACGAAGCTGATGTCGTGCGACCGTCGCCTTGCAGCGGCTACTTCTCGTCCGAGGACCAGAACTCGCCTCGCTGGCTCTACTACCGCAAGCGCACCGAGGGCCAGAACACGCTCCTGATCGGCGACGCCGACCAGAACGTCGCCGGCACCCCGCAGACCACCTTCCAGTCGACCGGCGAGGCGCAGGACGCGCTCGACTACACCCCGACCAACTCGAGCACCGCGTTCTTCACGGCTGACTTGAGCGAGATGTACAACTCGACGACGGTGCGTGGCGGGCGAGACACTTGTCCTTCCTCGGCTGCTCTTCTACCGAGGCTAAGCTGATCCAGGATGTTCTTGTTCCCGCTCAGTCGGTCAAGCGCGCTATCCGCTTCATCAACGGCCGCCACCAAGTCCTCCTCCGCGACGAGGTCGACTCGTCCGCCGCCGTCCAATGGTCAGTCTCGCCGCCTTCCTTCGCTCGACTAGCGCCAGACTGACTCGCCCTGCTTCCGCAGGCGCATGAACACGAACGCGACCGTCGCCCTCTCGAACAACAACCAGCAGGCGACCCTCACGCTCGGCGGGCAGACGCTCATCATGCAGCTCCGTTCGCCGTCCGGCGCCCAGTTCGCCACCGCTCAGCCTGAGAGGCAGTCCTCTGACCCGACGACTACCAACTACGGCGGATCGAACGTCCAGATGAGCCCTGACCAGCCCAGTGCGTCTTCCTTGCCCATTCTCGCTCGCAGCGAACGAGACTGACTTCGCCGCTCGCTTCGCGCAGACCCCGGCGTCACGGTCGTCACGGTCGACGTCGCTGCCGGCAACAATGTCATCGAGGTGCTCTTCAACGTGCGTCGCATTTCTCCTTCACCGCTAGCCGTCCAAGCTGACCCGGACTCTATTCTGCAGCCGCAATGGAAGAGCTTCAAGTCCTCCGACTACCTCACGCCTCCCTCTGTCGCCATCGACAGCTGGTCGCTCACCTCGCACAACTAGATGTGCGCCCTCACCATTCCTCTCTCCCTCTCCTCTCCCTCGGACACCTTGCATTCCTTTCATCGAGCCTATTCGCCCAACTCTCGTCCGTTCTCCTTCCTCACGCCCCACACTCCTTTGATACCCCCCCTTCTTGCCATGGACACTTGTGTTTAGCCTGCCGCCTGGGCGTGCCGTATGTCCACGTCCCATGACGAGAACGACGTCCGTCCGTCGTCTTCGCTCGCTCCTCGCCTCGACGGACGCTTGTGCGCGTTTCTCGCGGCAGCTGACCGAGTCGACGGTGCGTCCCCCGCGCTTTTTCTCGCGACCCGAGTCGGCTCACCTTCGCCTTTTGCCTCGTCCAGGAATGGTCGCACCCACCAGTCTCCCGGGCTGACGACGGCGCACTGATCAAACGGAACCGACCCCGCTTCTGCGCTCGGAAAGCGCTCGAGCTAATCTCTAGCGCAATCTCGGAATCGTCGCCGGACGACCCTCAACCTCACCGACTCGCTGGTGCCCGTTCGCTTGGCTCGAGTCGACGCTGCATGTCGGCGTACAGGCCGTCTGGGTCAGACTAACGCGCTCTCGGATCCTTGCGACAAGCGAGCCGTAGCGTCGTCTCCCGTCCGTTCGCCTCGCTGGCTAGATGGCGGCATCTTTTCCGCTCGGCTGAACGACTCTCACACTTCTGATGGTTCTCTTTTCTCTCACTTCCCAGCATCCTCGCTGAGCACTCTTCGCCTCGCTTCCAGTCATGCTCTCCCGCTCTCTCTTCCTCGCTCTCGCATCCGCCTACCTCGCCGCCTCATGGGCTACTCGCAAGTAGGTCGCCTCCTAGTACGCCCTACACATCATTGACACTCATGCTATCTTGTATAGGGCGCCCAAGTCGTCGGCGACTCGCTCTGCGGCTCGAGCGGTCTCTACGGCAGCGGCGGATACTCCTTCCCCTCCGGCTTCAACTACCCCTCGTCGCCCTACAGCTTCTCCGGCTTCAAGCGGTCGTCCATGCCTAGCGAGCTCGCTAAGGAGTCGCCCGCCGTCAAGCGCGCAGTCGAGGAACGCCAGCTTCCTTCGGACGAGACGAAGAACATCGTCGCCATCATCCAGATGGGCGACCCGACGTTCGTCCCCGGCAAGAGCTACGATGTCGGCACTTCCGTCACCCGCGGTCTCTTCCCTCGCTCCAACACGGCCTGCTTCGACCAATTCGCTTCGCGCATCCAGTCGTACTGTGATGCCGGAGACGAGTTCTGCGCGAGTGCGTCATTCTTCTCGTGGATGTGGATGCGCTGTCACTCACGCTTTTTCTCGCAGGCGGCGCCTCGCTCGCTGTCCACCTCTCGTACGTCACGAAGTACGGCTCGCAGGCGACGCAGTTCGTCGTCAGCAAGGCTCGCGCCTAATCCCGGTCTTTCCTTTGCCTTCCCCTCCCTTTCGTTTATTGTCACATTCGCCGTGGTTCTGCTTCTCGGGACTCGCACGCTACGCACGACTTGACGATTCTTGCTTGACCTTCGCAATCGACGAGGAGAGGGGCGGACGCAAACCTGACTGCAGTCGAGAGAGCTGGATCATGCTCCGGTGTGCAATGCAGAAACGACGTGAGTATGCAGTATAGCGTACAACGACAAGACGGTAGAGAAAGGCCCGGTCAGAAGATGGTCTGTCCAGGTCAGGCGGTCCTCCTGCGCTTCTTCAGGCTCTTCCGCAGCGCCTCCGAGCCCGACTCACTCCCTTCAACCCTACTCGACGATCGTTTGGCCCCGTGTGGCGAAGGCGGCGACAGGATCTGGATCTCGTCGTCCGTGTCGTGCGTCAAGTCGAGCGTTTCGACGCGCTTGCGCTTCTTGCTCGTTGTGGCCGACAAGCCCAGTTGAGGCAAGTCTGCCGCGGACTCAGCGGATGCGGTCGACTTTGCGGAGGAAGCAAGAATCGGTCGAGCCTTCTTCGGGGATGTAGGAGAGACGAGCGCCGGTGGGGAAGGGAGTGCTGGTGGCGCAATAGGCTGAGCAGTGGAGGTTGAAGCTGGAGGACGACGGACGGCGTCTGGCGGAGATGCGGGCGGAGTGGGAATTGATGCGGTTTTGCGATAGTTGGCGGCGAAAGGCGGTGGTCGTGCGGGCTGGTCAGTCGGTAGGCGGCCACCGTTGATCTCGTCGCGCAGGAGCTTGCGGCCCTCAGCGGAATCGATCTCGTCGTGCAGGTCGAGAACGAGCGGGTGGTGATCGGAACCTTCGACGTCGGAAAGGATACTGCAGTTCTTGACCCAGGGGAGGATGCCGGTACTGACGAGAACGTAGTCGACCCGGTTACCTTTGTTCTCGAGTCTGTGCTCCTGACTGTGTTAGTGAAATCGGCGGAAAGCTACAGACGGCCGTAACATACTGTGCTTGCGAGTCTCGGAACCCTGACAGGTCAAGCGCGTCAGCACGGTCGTCTCAGCATGACCGGGACCTCTGCATCGGAAGTACGCACAGGTGTAGATGCGCTCGCCTGAGTGATCGCGACGGAAGACATCAACTAGCCTGCCGTTCTTCCTCGTCAAGTCCGCAAGCCACGCCCGTCCAGGGTGGTCCATGAGCGCCTTGCGGCCCTTGAGTTGCGCCCTCATCTCGGGGTCCCATCTGTCGAGATCCGAGGCGGCCAGGTTCTGCGAAGCGGCAGCGGTCAATTCGAGGAGGTAGGAAGAAATAGATAGCTTCTTCGCCCAACGGAATGGCAAGCACCGAAGGATGCGAACGCACAAAGTCTCCAATCACGATCACCTCACGCCCTGCTTCCTGGAGAGCCTTGATTCGACCGTCGAGAAGTGCGATGATGTCCATCTTGCGTTCGAACTTGTTCGCAAGCTTTTTTGGGTCGTCCTTTCCCGGTACTCCTTCGGAGTGGAGGTACCTGTGCAGACGAGCGCAATGAGCCGGTTGTAGGTATAGGGAAGGGAGGCAGACGAGGCAAACGTGAACCGACAAGCAACGCACACATTGATTAGCACGAAGAGACCGAAATCCAGGATGATGCGTCGTCCGTCCTGCTCGAGCGACTCCTCCTTCTTACGCAGCGCGATACCAGGTGGGTACGCGCCGACGAGTCCAAACAAGCCGGCCGACTCGACCGCGCTTCGGTACGTCAAGCCTGCTTCGGCTTTGACGGGCACAGCGACGGTGCGTCGGGCGAAAGCGGCCGTGCCGTGAATGCCCACTCCACCGCCGCCGAAGCCGCTGCGAGTCTTGGTCGCGCAGGCGAAAAAGGCGTCGAATTCGGGCAGGTCGACCAGGTCTGTCGAAAGCTCGTGCTGCTGGAGCATCGTCTCTGCGTGAGCAAGGCGGACTCTTCAGCATGCGCGTGCCGGAGGGCGCAACCGAAGCGCAGAAAAGCCGAAGCCAACCTTGAAAGCAGATCACGTGCGCTCCCAGCGCCTCGACCTTGTCCGCGAACGTCTCGTGCTCATTCCACCTGCACATGAGAACATCAGATGGTCTTCTTGAATTCAAGCCAGAGCTTCATGGCGAAGAACGCGAGTACTCACGGCGTCGACCTCCCCCAACGCTTCAATCCGTTCTGCAGACGCACAGTCAGCGTCGCGCGAGTCGGTGACGCCTCGTGTGAAATGCTGAAGGATCGTAGGACTCACCAGGTTCCATGAGAGGATCCGCATTGCCTTCCCTCCGTTCCAGCACCCGCTGACCCGGACAAGCGATGAAGTTCCGCTAGCAATAGGTGAGGCAGGCGAGACCGCGGGAGCGCTCGACAGGCCTTCCAAAGCCCCTTGGTGGGGCTTTGCAAGCGTCAGCAGGCAGCAAAAGCGAGTTCGAAGCAGGTGAGACGGGAAGGAGGAGGACAAGAGGCAAGTGAAGACTTCTTCGAGGTACCAGTCGCTTCGTGGCGCTCAGAAAGAGCTCCAACAGTACGGAACAGTGTCAGGCTGCAATGCGGGAGCACTGAGCGTGCGTGCAAACAGCTCGAAACGGAAGCTGAAACGAAACAGCTCGAGAACATGCGAAAGCAATGCCCGAGGGAGTCGGCAACGGCGCAAATGCAGCGATGCGAAAGCTAGGTACGGTACAACGACAAGGAAGGTATGAGGAGACAGCTGGGAGAGAAAGAAAGAGAGAGAGGGAAAAGCGGGATCAGGCCGTTTTGTTGCGCTTCGTTTTCTTCTCGCCTTCCTGCGTCGACGCCAACGAGCCGGTCTTGCTCTTCTTCATTTGCGAGCTCACGCGTCCGGCGCCCTTGCGCTTGACCTGAGGCGCCGAAGATCCCGACGCGACCTGGACCTCCTCATCGTCCGTGTCGACCGTCAAGTCGAGCATCTCGTCGTTGCGCGAGCGCTTCTTGCCCTTGACGGATGGCGAAGAAGTGTTGGTCTTGAGAGACGATGACGAAGAACGGGCGAGCGACGTCGAGGTGGAAGAGGAAGATGCGCCAGACGAGCTCTTCTTGCCGGACTGAGCGGAGCTGGACGAGCGCGAAGCATTGACAGTCGAGGTTGTAGTCGAGGCGCTTGACTTGCGAGATGTCGAGGCGGTAATCGGACGAAAGGCGGCGAAGAAGCCGTTCGAGGTACTGCGACCGTTGACCTCGGGCGCGAACTGCGTCCAGTGCGTCGCGGCGAGCGCAGGCGGCGGAGGAGACGGATTCGTCATGCGGCGACCGGGGTTGAGGACGTCCCAGAGCTTGACTTTGACGCCGTCAATCTCGATCTGCTCGTGGAGGTCGAGGAAGACGGGCGCATGGTCGGACCCGAGCATATGGTGCTGTATGCCGCCGTCCTTGAGCCACGGCTGCAGTCCGGGTGAGGTGAGGATGTAATCGACGCGGTTGCCCATCGTGTCGAGCCTACAGAAAGATGCGATCAGCTACGAGCAGAAGAGAAGCGGTGTTCGAAGTAACGCACTTCCTCGTCGTGACCTTGTCACCCCAGCCTGCCGGAAGAACAGTGGAGTGCGTCAACTTCACTCCTTTGCGCGGCAGGAAAGCGGAAGAAGTAACGCACAACTGAACATCTTCGAGCCGGGGTGGAAGTGTCGAGTTGAGTCGATAAGCAGCCCGTTCGGCCCAACGAGGCTCTGGAGCCACCGACGAGGTGGATGGGACATGAAAGGAGCCCCTTCTTGCTTCGCGCGAAAGGCGGCGTTGTGCGAGTCGTCTGTCGAGGCGTGGGCATTCTGCATGATTTGCAGCGTCAGTCCTGCGGTAAGCGCGATGACGCCGGAGCTGGATGGATCAGGAACGCACGAGGTCGCCGAGGACGATGACTTCCTTTCCCGCCGCTCGTGCAATCCTGATCCGCGCTTCGAGGGTGTCGAAGTAGTCGAGCTTCTTCGTGAGCTTCTCCGCCTTCTTTGGGCCGTTGCTGATGCCCTCAAACGGTGCGTAGCTATGAGAGTGAGCAGTAGCATTAGCATCGACGGACGTAGGAGGCGACGAAAGAGTTTGACGCACCAGGCGAAGAGGATGATGTTGCCGAGCTCGAGAACAATCGTCCTGCCCTCCGACTCGAACGAGTTGGGGTCGCCTCGCAACTGGAGGTCTTGAGCGTAGCCGCCAATGAGGTCGGCGGTCGTCGCAGTCGAATTTGCCTTCTTCAGCGAGCTCAAGGCCTTGGCTTCGGTCAAGCCTTCCTCCGCCTTGACCGGCACGACGACGTCCTCCTTGACGAAGACCGCGGAACCGTGGATCGACGAGCCCTTGACCTTCTGCGGGCAGAAGGACCAGAAGGAGTGCCAACCCGGCGGGCAAGCAGTCGACCTCGGGACGTCCTTCTGCTGGACGTGAGTCTCTGCGCGCATGTGCTCAAATCAGTCACCGGAACTGCTCGTTGAAAGTCAAGCGAAGAATTTACCCTGCAAGCAGACGATATCTCCGCGCAACCTCTCCAACCTCTCCGCCATCGTCTGGTCTTCCTTCCACCTGCGCACCATGAGGGGCAGCTTCCGGTCAGCTAACAGCAGCGGTGCCATGGGCGAAGGAAAAGACCCACTTGGCCTGCTTCTCCCACTCCCGCAGGTCAGCCTGCGAAACCAGAATGGAGCTCCGCGTGAGCTGCTGCCGCCTTTGCTCAATCAAGAGTGAGCTGAGAGCGCACCACGTTGTACGTCACGATCCGCATAGCTCCTCACTGCCGCGCAATCCGCTTCCTGTCCCAATTGCGATGAAGCTATCGCGAGGCGCCAAACGAGTCGATGGCGGCAGGCGGCGAGGTGGGTGAATGGTAGGGGTATAAGGAGAGCAGTATCCAAGCGTGTGCAGGCGTAGGAAGCGAAACGAGCGCTATGCGAGCGAGCAGAGTGAGGCGAAGGAGCGAGAGCGGGAAGTGGGGAGGGCAAGTGGTCTACATCCCTTCGTGGCGGGCAGAGGCACGCTGTGAATGTGTAAATAGCTGCTGAAAGCCCGTCGAAGCACCTGCAAAAGTCCCCAGAAAAGGGACGACGCGAGGAAAGCCAGATCCGGTATCCTCCTCCTGCCGACGAGCGTAACGACGAATAAAAATCCTGACTGTGTATTCCCAGCGATCTATCATAACACTCAAGAGCTTGTACCCCGCTCTACCTGACAATCGAGCTCTTCTCGCTCTCCAAGCTCGCCCCTCCGCTCTCCAACACCTTGACCTCCGCCTCCTCCGTCTCCTTCACTCCCCTGCCGAGGTACTCCGTGCCGATCTTGCCGATGACCAGCCAGGCGGGGAAGAGGGAGAAAGCCCAGAGGCCGAAATTGAGGGAGGAGGCGCCGACTGTCGTGAAGGAGGAGAGGGAGTTGAGGCCGTAAGAGACCGCTTGTGCCTGCGAGCCAAAGACACGAGGGTGTGAGCCCATCTGAGGCGAGATGTAACTTGGCGCCCGTTAGAGGGACGGGACGCACCGCAGACTCGGTCGCACGCAAGAGACCGCCAATCCGAACGATGTCGGCTGGTTCCGTTACAAGTGTGCCGACGACAAAGTAGAGGAAGAGGTAGTTGAGCTGGAATCCGGCGACGAGGAACAAATAGAGGGCGAATCCGCGCCCGAATCCCTTGTCTGCCCAGTCGTACACTCGCCCGGTCCGGTTGAACTCGACCTGAATGACCGTCGACCAGATCCACCACGCTCCTTGCAAGCCAAGGACGACGAAGAAGGCGAGCCGGGCGCGGCGCTTGAGCGAGACCCTCGTCCGGTCGAGCCAGAGACCGAGGAGGTTTCCGCAGACGATGGCCACGATGGCCGAGAGGAAGGAGCCGAGGGCGCGAGAGCGGGTCGAGAAGTGCAGGGTGAGGTAGGTGCCGTTGAAGCTTTCGGGAAAGACGGCTTGCGTGATGAGCGGGACGATGAGGAGGAACTGGGTGAGGAGATGGGGTCAGCTTTTGAGCGCGACGATGGGAGCTGGACAGGTAAAGAGAGTGAGGAACATACCCGCTTGGAAAAGAAGAGCTTCGCGGTCGCCTTCAGCTCGTGGAGGAGGGGGTTGTCGATGAAGAGGCGAACGGGCAGGCCATCCGTACGCTGGACCTTGCGCGGCGCAGGCAAGAGGAACGCGACGAACGGTCCAACCGCCTGGAGGACGATGAAGATGATGTACACCTTCGAGTTGACGGCGCCGGCGGTCGAGCGGTTCGCGTTCAGGCCGAGGTTGATGGCGCCGCCGAGAATTTGGCCGCCGACGCGGAAGGACAGCCAGAGGCCGAGGAAGCGGCCTTGGTTGTATGGCTCGGGGTAGCTGAGCGCGATGGCGGCTTCGATCGCCTGCGCGAGGGGAAGACAAGTCAGTAGGAAGTCTCGCGCCGAATGACCTTTGCACTCACCCAGAACGTGCCGGCCGAGATGCCGCAGAGTGCTGCGCCGAGCAAGAGGAACCATTGATTACCGTACAAGCTGTTGCAGTACAGTCCGCTGCGTAGAGGAAGCGGAACGTCAGCTTGAGCAGTCGAGCTCGCGTCAAGGAGCGAGACTTACGCAGCATAGGGAGCGTATCCCGCCGCACCGAATGCTAGCGTCCACTTGACCCCGACGAGTCGGACGATGGCGGAAGTGAGGAAGGCGGTGAGGACCATGAGTCCGAAGGTCAGGGCATTGGCGAGGTTGGCGGTGAAGGGAGTCGCTAGACCGCCGGCGCCGAGCGAGTTCATTGCGCCCCAGATGCCGGGAGCGCAGAAGTTGACTAGTCCAAGGACCAGACTGGCCCACCAGGTCGAACAGTACCAGCGAGGGCGAACTGCGAGGTCGTGTCCCGGCGATGCCGCTTGAACGGATGCGAGCGCGCCGCCTGTCATTGTCGATTACGCTTGTCGAGGCGAAGGCGGTTCAGGTAGGTGCAAGGGAAAGAAGTGAGATCCCCTAGCGAGCGAGGCGAAGGCGACTTTGTGCGCCGGAAGAACCAAGTCCCACGCCTGAACGACGAGCGCACGCCTTGCATGAGCGTGATAACAGCATCAGTGCAGCGTCTTCGTGCGCAAGCAGCGCTTCATCGAGCCGAGTGCGCGTTCCTGTCGCCATCTTGCGCAAGCGGCGGAAGAGACTGCGAGAGGGCGCGGCAGGGTTCGCGGGCGGGCTGGGGCCGGCTGAAGGGATCCTTAGCGAGCTGTCGCAGTCTTCGCAAGCGCCGTAAGCAAGCTGAGCGGAGCAGAGGTTGGCGTACAAGGTCAAGAGGGGTCGCGAGAGGGTTTGCCTTCATCACTTCGCCCTCGCCGGCCAGAGATTGCTTCTGAGGACCACAGGCGCTTCAATAAGACTGCGCAGCTGCGCCCACGGCTCGCTCACGGCCGGCGGCTCCCGTTCCCTTGCTTGCGTCTCGTTGCGTGATGAGAAACGCACTCACGCCATGCTTTGCTCGTGGACTGTCTGGCTGCCGCTCAAGCGCTCGCTTGAACTGCCAAGATGACCATCACCAAGCCCTACTACCCGCCTTTCGTCCACGTCGAGCCAACGAAGGAGAACAGTGCGTCCCGACCCTCTCTTTCTGCGGTTCTTCCTCGCCAAGCTGACTGACTCTCGCGCCCGGCAGTCCCCTTTGTCGAACTCGGCGTCGTCGACCTGTCCAAGTATGTCGAAGGGCCCGAGGGACTCGAGGCAAGGAAGCAGCTGGCCGCGGAACTCGAAGAGGCGTGCGTTTTCGCTTTCTCCCCTCTCTCCTTCCGCAATTGACGTCTTGCTGCTTCCACAGCGTCTCTACGCAAGGCTTCTTCTTCCTCGAAGGCCACGGCTACCCTACGACCAAGCTCGACTACCTGCAAGCCGTCTCGCAAGCGATCCTCGACCTCCCGCTCGAGGAGAAGCAGCGGTACTCGGCTGGCTCGGCTCAGTCCGACGCGGATGCTATCGACGACGCGAAGAAGCTTGGTGCTGAGCGAGGAAGCGGTTTCAAGCAGCGAGGGTAAAGTCTAATCTCCCTTCATTTCGCCCCTCGCCAGCGTTTCGCTGACTCCGCCCTCGCAGTTACTGGGCCATGCAAAACAGCGTCCGCGACGCAATCGAGCACATCAACTACCGCGACCTCCTCCACCCGACCCTGCGCGACAAGCACTCCTACCCTCCGCTCGTCCAGCAACACCTCCCCGAAATCGTCGAGTACTTCAGTTACCTCCATCTCAACGTCGTCCGCAAACTCGCAAGCTTGTTCGACATCATCCTTGAGCTGCCGGAGGGAACGGTTTGGAACTTATTTGAGGTGCGCGAGGATCAGCCGGAGCTGTCTGGCGGAGGATTCGGTCGCGCGATGCTCTACCGTGAGTCCGCTTCACATAGCAGCGTTCTCACAATTGCTCAACACTTAAATATGCTCTGCAGACGGCATGAGCGCCTCAGACGAAGCCAAAACCAACAACACCTGGCTCCGCGGCCACTCGGACGCCTCAGCCCTCACCTTCATCACATCGCAGCCGATGGCGTCGCTTCAGTTCCGTGACTACCACGACGGCGAGTGGAAGTACGTCGGGTACCGCCCGAACGCCCTTGTTGTCAATATCGGCGACAGGTTCGAGTTCCTGACGGGCGGATGGGCAAAGTCGACTATTCACCGAGTTGTCAGTCCGCCCAAGGACCAGCGCGGACACCGTCGTCTCGGCTTGAGTGCGTCGCCCGCCTTCCGCTTCCTTGGGTCTCCGTCGCTGACTTCGCTGACTTCGCCGACGACAGTCTACTTCTGCGACATTCAGCCCTCGGTGTACATCGACCCCGACACGCTCCGCTCGCCCAAACTCGCTCGTCTTGGCTACAAGAAGCCCGAAGAGTGGGAGCGGATCACGGGCGAGCAGTGGGACGAACAAAAGGCCAAGTCGTTCGGCAAGGCGTACATCAACTTGCCGCCTGGGGACGAGCCGGCGCCTTTCTATATTTACGGAAGGCTGGCGGAGCGGTGGCATCAGCTGGGGAAGTAGAAGAGCTGAAGCAGCTCGCAATGAAGCGATACGGAGCGTCTCCTCCTCGTCGAGAAGGTCACGAAACAGACATTGCGAGAACATACGCAGTTGATACCGACAACAGAGGGCTACGAATCTACGCACGAAGAGGCCTGTACACCTCGCTCTCCGCCATCTCGTCCGGAACGGCGTTCGCCTCCTCCGCCGCCTGCTTCGCCGCCTCGATCGCTCCCTCCTTCACACCCACGTCTGGCAACCGCTCTACCGTCTTCTCCCATTCGAAGCCGTGCGGTGCGGCAGGCTTCGACGTGGCGAGAGGCCCGGCTCGAGCGATACGAGCGTCACGCTCCTCCTTCAGCAACTCCAGCGGCTTTTGCGTCCACTCCCTCCCTCCCGCCTCCGCTGACCCGAACGTCCTTTCGACCCACTCAGCCAAGCTCTTCATCGCCTCCTTCCCCGCCCTATCCGCCTGCAAAAGCTGAAAGACATGCACGCCATCCATCCAAACCTGATGCGTGACCTCCTCGTTCCCTGCCTTCCGTAAGCGCCGAGCGAGGACTGTGTCTTCGTCCCGGAGACACTCGAGGACGGCGCCTTGGATCAGGAGGGGAGGGAGGGCAGAGAGGGAGGAGAGAGGCGCGAGAGCGGGGGAGACGTAGGGATGGGTGAGGAGGTCGCGGTAGGAGGCTTCTTTGGACGAGTCGGTGCCGGTCAGGTAGAGGCGCGAGGGGCGTAGCGGGTCGTGCGGGTCGTCCAAAGCGAGGTAGTCGATCAGCTGCGTTCTCGTACTTCCGTCAGTTCAGTCGTCTCGACGTTGCTCGATCCAAGCGAAGCGCACCCTGTTCTCGTCCCAGCTCGCAAAGCTACTGCTCATGTCCACCCACGGGCTGAGGAGCAGCCCGCCACCGACTTGAGGGAGGTCCGCGTCGCGAAGGAACATGACGAGCTGGAGGGCGAGATGGCCTCCTGCCGAGTCTCCTTCGACGAGGATCTGCGAGGGTGGGATCTTTAGGTCTGTGCAAGAAGGAGGTGAGTTACGTGCATGGTAAGGGAGGAAAGGATGGGCCACCTTCGGTAAGGTAGAAATAGGCGTGCACGGCGTCGAGCAGCGAGGCGGGGAAGACGACTTCGGGAGACAGGCGGTAGTCGACGGCTGTAGACAGTGCGACTGGTCAGTGAATGTTCTCGCTGAGGAGCTCAAGCACGCCAGCCGAAAGCCTTTCCGTCCTCCGTCGAGACGAGAAAGACCAGTGTCTCCCCGCAAACAAGCATCTACTCACAGAATACGAGACACCCCGTCGCGCCCGACATCTCCGTGTGCATGGCTCGATGCGTCGCCGGGCTGCATCGGACGTGCGCGCCGCCGTGCGTCGACAGGATGACCTTGTCGCTGAGCGGCTTCGTCCCGTCGAGCAACGAGGCGTGGGCGACCCATTCGGCCTTCACAGATCGATCTCGTCAGTATACAGGATAGGGAGGAGCGAGAGAGCGGGGACGCACCTTCGACTTGCGCGTCCCGCCTTCCTGCGCGCTCAACTCGGCCAACAACCCCCCAAGTTCCCGCTTCTTAATGTCGATGTCAACGACTTTGACGACACCGTCCTCAAGCTTGTCCGCATCTTTCGCCAGCATCTTCTCCGTTGCCGTCCGGCCATCCACAACGAGTCGAAGGATGTCGTCTGCCGTCTTGGGCGGGTTCTTCTGCCGCGAAGCGAGGTCGATGCCGGACTTGTGGCGGATGATGTTTGTCAGAACGGAGGTCCTCAGCGTCCATGTCGGTGCGTGAGCTGCGAAAGGGACCGGTAAGCGACTTAACAGCCGGTTACGAAGGGGAGGAAGGAGGACGCACCGCCGACCGTGTAGTGCTTCGCCGTCGACGTCAGTGCCGTGCCGAGCAGGCTAGCGACCGTCCATCTGCAGCGGACGAGGTGAGCGATCCCTCAACACCCTCCCAGACAGATGTGGGGACGAGGAGGGGACGAACACGCTGGACAGCGGCGAGGACGCAGCGGTGGTAGCAGCAGGCTCAGGAGTAGGATCGGGGATAGCCATAGCAACGAGCGACGAGCCGAACGAAGCGAGCGAAGTGAAGAGTTGGAGGAAAGAGAGATACGAGGAGAGGAAGGGGAGGCAACAACGTCGAATGCAGACAATAAAGGCGAGAACTAGGGCGACTACTACGACTGGGAACGACACAAGAACGAACAAGGCGAGACCAAGTCGTGTTGGTACAGCAATCCGCAAGAAAGAGACCCACCGCTCCTCATCCCGCATTTACCGTCTCCTGGCTGCCCATACTGCTCCGTCTCCGCCTGACATTCCTTCCAAGACCTGCACCGTTCCCTCCCGCAGCGCTCGCCGCCGCCGCCGCAGCCGGGTTGAACCCTGCGCTTGCCGCCGTCCCCGACGAGCCATTCGCAGCGGCGCCGTTCCCTCGTCCAGGTCCACCCGTGTCGCGCTTGCCCAGCACGCGCTGAGACTGCGGCAGCTTCGAAGGGCTGTTGGGCGGCTGCAAGCCCGCGGACGTGCTCGACGACGCCGAACTTGCGCTCGTCGTCCGCCCGTTCCGCAACGGGTACCGCGTCTGTCCCGCTGCGCAGGCGCCCACAGCTGCACCACCGGTCGTAGCCTCAAACACCGTGTTGAGGTTCTTGGCAGCCTTCGAGCGTGCCATTCCCGCTGCACCACCTGTGGAAGCGGTCGTCGCGCCTCCTCCTCCTCCGTTGCGGGCGGACGACCGAGTCGTACCGATACGGTCGACGATGCGGTTGTCTGCGAGTGCGGAGAGCGGTCGAGTTGCGGGACGGGCGATGCGAGTCGGTCGAGTCGACTGAGGCTGAGTGGGCGTCTTCGGCGGAGCGGGAGGCGGCGGTCGTGCGGACGAGGTCGAGGCTGTCGCGGAGCCGTTGATGCGCGCAGGAGGAGCAAGACCGAGTTTCCTCGGACTCGAGGGGACGACAACCATCGCGAGCGGGTCGTCCTCCTCGTCGTCCTCCTCCGCTGCCGCATCCAGCATCGGTCCCTTCCCCTTGCCCTTGACTCCCCCTCCGCTGCCAGACACCCTCCCCTTCCTCGGACTACTCAACACAACCCCCTCCATCCTCTCCTCCTCCTCCAACGCGCTCTTCTCCTCCGGACTGACCCGCTCAGGCTCCGCAACCGCATGCCTCGACCGCCCAGGCGTCTTGCGCGGTTGGCCCGGTACGGTTCCCGTTTGGCGGCGAGGCGTGACGGGTGCGCCGTGAGAGGCCGAGGGGGTCTTGCTCCGCGCTCGATCGAGGTCCGCTTCGTTCGGCGGTGTGAGAGGGCGACCAACTGCTTCGCCTGCAGCCGAAGTCGACGCGACCGCACCAGCTCCAGCGGCGGCAAGCTCCTTCCCAACGAGCCCGCGCTGGCTCTCGAGTTCCCGACGCAACTCGTCCTGCGCGGCCCAGCGCACCCACTCGAACTGGTTCTCGTAGAGAAAGTGTTGTTGCGGGCCGACGCACGAGCCGGGGCGCATCAGGCGCATGAAGCCGATCGCTGCGAGCGACGGCCTTCGTCAGCCTTGAGCACATGTGTGCAGGGAGAGGAAGCGAAACGCACCCTCGTCCGCCGTGAACCCATGCTTGTAGATCAGATAAGCCCCAATCAGCGTCCCCGTCCGCCCCAACCCAGCCTTACAATGCACCGCGACCGCTCCGCCAGCCGAGATGATCCGGTCCGAGAGGTCGATGAACCGGCGACACATGTCGAGCGTTGGGTTCGTCCCGTCGTCAAAGTACATCTCGACGTGGTCGATTCCGCGAGAGGTGAAGTGCGAGGCGTCGTAGAGCTTCTTGTTGAGCCTGCGTGCGAACGTTCGAGCGGCGAAGTCAGTGACCTCGTCAGCGGCTGGAACAAGACTGCCGGAAGGGCGCGCTTCACACCCGCCCTCCGCAGTCACCAACAGCGAACGAGAACGCACCTAACGACAACCTTGACCCCCTTCTTCTCAAACTCGTCCAACACATTCCTAAACGCCCTACTCAGTTTCCCATTCCCTCCCTGCGCCCCTCCCCCTCCTCTCCCCACCACGCCCTCACGATACCCACTCTCAACCGGACTCGCAAACGCCACGAACCCCGGGGTGATCCAATTCCAGTCCCCCGTCTCGACTTTTTCGGCGTGTTCGTACGCGGCGAGGTCGAAGGTTGAGAGGTCGAGGAGCGTGTGCGAGAGAGCGCGGTGGGTCCCGTAGAGGAGCGATTGGGGGTGGAGGTGGTAGTCGGCGCGGGAGTAGCCGGCGTCGCGGTAGGGTTGCTGTGCGTGCAAGTGGGCGTCAGCTGAGCCCCGAACAGAGTGAAAGTCTAAGGGAGAAGAGGAAGCACAACGCACGAGTTCGAGGCTGCTGAGCGGGTGCAAGACATCCGCCACGCTCCACCTCATCACGACCATCTGTGCGTCCACATTCAGTGCATCCATCAGCGCTCTCTACATGCGCGAAAGAAGGACCGAATGAGGGAAAGGCGCCAACGCACCGCATAAAGCGCCATCAAGACCGCCGCATTGACTTTCTTGTCCGGCTCGTCGGACGAGTAGAGGAAGATGCGTTGGTGGGCGTGATCGGGGGAGGAGAGGAGCGAGTGAAGGTGGAGACAGAAGCGGCTGTGGGAGGCGAAGGAGAGGAGAGGAGGGCGTGACAGGAGGGGTGGGGGCGCGGTGGCGAGCAGGCGGGATAGCGAGCACAGGGAGGGAGGATGGCGGAATTGGGGGAAAGGTCGAGTTGGACGACGGGAGATCGTACGAGGAGAAGAGGCGGATGAGGGAAGTCAAGTGCACAGGAAGCGAGTCGGGGCGTTTCGGGACGCGATGAGAGCGGTAGGGCGGTTCGTCAAGGCGAGGCGGGAGGGCGCAGGAGGGCAGGCAAGCGATACGAGTCGAGTGGGGAAGGGGAGAACAGGCTGATCAGCGCAAGTCCCCGAGGAACACGAGGTAACCCACACGCACTAGAGGCATCCGACATTGAGGGGTCCATAGTCCTGGAAGAAGCTCAAGTACAGCAGCTGGTCGTCGACCGAGAACCAGTAGATGCCCTCCTCGCCTCCGTCGCCCTCCCTTCCAGGCGTGAGCGCATTGAGCGCCTCTGCGCGCGGCGCCGGTTGCGCAAAGTACGTGTACCCGAGTCGTGGACCGAACGTGAGTACCGGGCCAGCCGGGAGAGGCGCGCCCTTTGCTCCGCGCTGTCGTGCTGGTGAAGACGAGGAGGCAGCTGGGTGTCCGCCTCCGCCTCCCGCTCGTGCGACGCCCAAGACATACTCGAGCAACTCGGAGGACGACGCAGTGTTTGTCGCAGTCGCGCCTGCCGCATCGTTGATGATCGAGTCGCCGTCTGCGTCCGTGTTTGATGAGGACGACGCGAGCGAGTCCGAGGGCGAGAGCGAGCGCGCGGCGGGTGCTGCTGCGCCAGTGGCCATCTCTAGCGAGTCCAGTCGAGACCAGCAAGCGTCCTCTCGACGAGCAAGCGAGAGTCGTGTGAGCGAGAGCGAGAGAGAGTTGAGTGAGCGAGTTGGACGACGACCAACTCTCGCCTTCGTGCGGGTTATGGAAGGGTGCGATGCGCGTGGAATACAGTCTTGCACAAGTTCGAACCCAGCGTACAGATCCCTCGAACCAGATGCCGTCTTCCCCTCCTCGCTCCTCCTAGCTCCTTCATGATATCCCGCCCCCGAGTCTACCGTTTGAACACCTTGATCTCGATCCACCGGAAGATAAAGTAACTGACAGTCGCCACAACCGCCGACATCTCGAACCCTGCGTGCGCATAACCCGTCAGCCTCACACTCCGTAGCAAAAGTCCAAGGCACCCACCAAGGTCTCCACCGTACGACGACGCCGGCTCCGTCACCGCCTTGGCAATCGGTCCAGTATACCACGTCTCGGCCATACTCATCACGACAGGCGGGATCGTGACGCAGATACTCGCGACGCAGGCGTACCCGGGCGGAAGCTTCGAGTAGTCCGTCACGTCGTCCCAGTTGGTCGAGGTGCCGAGCGGGCCGCGCGATGAGCGGAAGTAGAAGATCTCAAGGAAGACGATCGCGGAGAGGAACGCGGTGTAGTAGGCGAGGACTGTCGCGGGGGAATCGTTAGCTTCGAGGTCCGTGAGCGGTAAGACGTGGAACGCACTGGATGAAAAGTTGGACAAGATCTCGGAAAAGTGTTCGCGTCCGACAATCGCGACGACCATATAGATCAGGGTGAAGACGATCACGAAAAACACCCTCGGGATCTTCATGAGTGCCGGGTGCAAGCTCTGGATGCAGAGTGCGCCAGAGTACGAGTTGGGGATGTTGGCGCTGATGGTCGAGAACGCGAGGAGGACGAGGAGGAATTTGCCGAACCCGCCGGCGCCTTGGATGAGGATCTCGCCGACGACGCCTCCGAGCGACTCTTCCTCGAGCGCCGTGACGTACGATGCCTTTGTGAGCGTCATGAATGTCGCGCTGACGGAGCAGGTGAAGGCGATAGGGAACCACATCCCGACGAACGCCGAGCCCCAAATCACCCATCCTGGAGTCGTCGCCGGGAGCGCCATGTTGTAGTCCGCCGCGATGGAGCACCAGCTGGCGCCCACAGAAAACATGATGCCGAGATATGAAAGTATATCGCCTGTCAAAGCGCGGCCGCTGTCCATGTCAGCGGTGCGGGAGGTAACGTCGTAGCCTCCGCGCGCGCCGAGTCCGAGGACGATGCAGTAGATGATGAAGCAGGCAATCCACGCCCACCGTTCCCAAATATGCAGGAACTGGATCACAAGCACCCATCAGCCACCCTCCCAAGCGAGGGAAGAGAGAAGGGAGGAGGAGGACGGACCTGGTAGCCCCAGACGGCGAGGATCATGACGATCACGGTGAGGATTACGATTCCGACGATTAGGGAGAGCGAGTGGTTGATTGCGCGGAGGGCTTGTGCGCCGGACAGGGCGGTCGTGACGGCGTAGCAGAGTTGGGTCTGCGCGCGGCGATGGAGGGGGTTAGGTGGGATTCTTCGACGCGGTTCGCTGGGAGCGCAGCAGGAATAGCTCGTGATTTGTGCAACAGGAGGAAAGAGGAACGGGCAAAGGCGGAACGAGGGGCAAGGCGAAGGGAAAGAAGGTCGAGAGGAGGCGAAACGTACGAGGGCGTTGAGAAGCGAGAAGATTGCCGTTCCGCTGTGTAATCACCGTCGTAAGCACTCGGTCGCACGTATCTAAAGCAGTACTAGCGCTCCGCCGCGCAACAGCACCAAACGCGAACGCGAACTCACGGCCATCCTCCGGCAAACCTCGAAGCCGCCATCGTCCTCAACCCAGTCTTGGGCCCGACAAGCGCCATAGTCGCCGATACGCACACGCCCAAAGCGGTGCCGAGCCAGATGATGACCATTGAAGTGCGGAAGTCGAGCGTGAAGTAGAGGCCGCCGAGCATGCCGGTTCCGAGGGCTGAGAAGGAGAGGTTGACGGAGAACCAGAAGAAGCTACGAGCATGGACGAGCGCGGAAAAGCGGGCGGAACGTCAGCCATGGACGGAGAAAGAGCAAGAGAAGGGAGAGCGCACATCTGCC